CCCTGTCCCCCATTTATAATTACCGCGGGCTCAGGCAATCTGTTCCTTGCACGCCAATGTGGAGCAGAAACTTCCAGCATGCCTGAGGTTCCACAATGGCATTACAGCAACAGTCCACCAAAGTTTATTCCATGCTCATAACCCACCCAACCACAGCAACGCTTCAAGCCAGAGCAGCCTAAGACAGTGAAGAACTTTAGTCTTTATTTTCCCATCCTCACTCACAAGAAGTGGTTTATGTTAATAAAATTATAATGGCAATAAAATGCATTTTCAGGGAAAAATAAACAAAAAATAAAAAAAAAAAATAATACAGGAAAAACTATAGGAATAAGTCCAAAAAAAAAATGGCTTAGCACCTGCAATCGGAGGAAGTGAAAGGCAAGGATTTAGGTAACATTCGTTGTGTTCTGTAAAAAAAGAATAAATTATACAAAATCTGGACATCGGTATAATAGAAATAATTCAAATTGTCTATGCAGTATTTTCAAACCTCCTTAATGCCTGAATTACACATGGGGGAGGGAAGAGGGGAAGGGGTGGGGTGGATAGGGAATTACCCAAAAAGCATGCAGCAAAGACCCCGGGATCAAACCTTGCACACCCGCGCACACACTCATGCATACACACACATAATAAACACCACACATTAAACTAATGGCTGGTTGTTTGTACTTTACTGTTAAATATTTAATATAGCAAATACAAAAATTATCTAGTATGGCATGCATATATACAAAAATCCTCTAATTGTATTCCATTAAGGGGTCCATAAGTATCTGAGGTCCAGTAATCACTGGTTCAGGGGGGTATCAGAGTCAAATTGGTGACTCCAGGTGCCTGTTTCCTCCTCCCCTGCAGCAGTGATTAGTGGGCCTTCTGCTGAAAACATTAGGGGGGTGCTACTTTGGGGTGGTACTTACCATTACTTTCGCCTGCCTGTTTTTCTCTTTTCCTCTTCTTCTTTTTGCCCTAAAGAGCAATCACAAAAAAGAAAATGGCATTTAGCACCATTACAGATCTTTTAAGGAAGTAACCAAAAAAAGTGTGCAAAGGATGAAAAGCCAATGGCACCCAAAACCGACACTGGAGCTGACCCACTGGCTTCTCTCAGATTTCGTGTCTTGGCCGTCCCCACAATTGTGAGATTTCCCTGCAATAGTTTGTGTCTCTGCCCCTCCCACAATAGTGAATTTCCTTTCAGCAGTTTGTGTCTCTGCCCCTCCCTGATCCTCCCAACCTGAATCCCCAAGAGAAACTAGAAGCAGTGAATGAACTCTCCAGCAGCCTTGTGGTACTCAAATACCAGTTTTGGGTTGTAGTATCCTTTACAGGCAACCTGTCACTGTACAACACACCATAAACAGACATAACTAGTGTTAAATGCCATCATTCAGTGAAAAATGGCCTTATACACTATATGCCCCAACCACACACACACACATATATACAACAAAGTGATGCCGGTTTCTCTGCAAAGGGCCCTTAAGTGCACATTCTACCATGTAGGATACATTAGTGGCAAGGGCAGAGAGAGGTAGGAGAGATCTGGGTTCAATGGATCCAGGGGCAGAAGACCAGTATTCAGAAACTGAAATAATGTACAGACACCTTGTATTGCCTACTGTTGACTTGTGTCACTATGTGTTGTATAATGACAGGCTCTCTTTAGTTCACATAATGGATTGCAAGAACATTTCAACAATGTAAGTTCTATCCTGTCCACAAATATCCAAAAATGAACGCGACATTGTTCCTCCAGATATTCAAATCTCTATTAGACTCTGAATCACTAGGGAGTGGGTGCCTTCAAGAAATAAGTTGCTCGTGGATGGGTAAATAATTTCCTGAGAGTCATATAATAAGCTGTTCTAAGCCTGGAGACCCATTGAAATACTGAGCTACAGACTATAGTGGATGGAGGGGCTGGGCTTCACCTGAGCAAAAAAACATCCAACAGGTTGGAAATCCACTGTATACAATTAAGTGCGCTTCTGATCTGTGGGGGAGTCAATATTAACCCCTTAAACTGGGGGACAGTTTGATTTTCCAATATGTTCCAATAAATGGTTGTTAAAGGTTAGTTTGCTGTTGCTCATCTATGGGAAAGCCTTAGAGGTAAAGGATGCTACTCCAATTGCAGAAAGATGAAAATGAAGAGAGACTGGTTCATCAGAAGTGTTAATAACAAACAAGGTAGAAATGAAAGTGGAGATAGGTGAGGGAGTGTTAGAGGGCTGGAGTGGTAAGAGATTTGGAAAAGTTTTTTTCCCCACAGGGTCTACTGCCTATTCTCTCCCCGGATTCCTGAAAGGCATTGTATCCAAGGATTTTAGGCACCCTTGAAAGCTTCCAAAGCTTCCGTTGTTCAATATGGCGGACAATTTTTCGCTTATGATCCATTAGAGCTCAGCTTCTACCAGTTCAAATAGCAAAGAAGGTGTCTTCCATGACCTGGCTATAATTGATATGTATTGTAGGAGCATTGGGCTCATTGAGTGAACAAAGAAAGGTAGCAGAATTTCAGATGTTTGAAGACAGCTCTTTTTCAGCCAGGGAACCTCATGGATTCCTTGGAAATATTTACATGGTATTGGAAGAATGAAAGCCACACCAATTCATTCAGACCACTATAGCTTTCTTGATTAAAAAGCAATGTCAAGTTAAAAAGCCAACCTGTTTGGGGGGCTTACAGATCCCCCTTTATTAGGGCTTGTTTGCTGGATATGATGCATGATACTACTGAACAAGTAATTATGGGAAATGAAGACCTGGCTATGGCAAATCTTGCTGCTACGAATATTAGAATGATCAGTCTCCCAGGGCGTCTTGATACATCCTTGGTTGGTTGATTTATTAGTGCTTTGGATGGGGATTTCATAAAGTTTACTTGGAGGAGGGAGTATATGAAGTTGCATATTCCAAATCAAAAGCTCCAAACCCTTGGGCAGGTCCCATATGTTATTTTTAAATGCTAGGAAACTATTTCACACTACTGTATACACTTTGATAGAAACCAAAATTTGGATTGTGATTCCAGTTCTAACTTGGAGCAAACTGAAATAAACAACAAACGAGTAGTTGGTGCCACAAAAAGAAGTTATTTGCAAATTTGACCAAAAATTCCAGTCAAAATAAGACAATTATGTAATAAAATATGAATCCATTCGTGGCTAGCCTTACAGGACCTATACCCAACTGAATTTCAAAACAGCTGCTGAAGACTGCTGAAAGCTTATGGTTAAAGCAAAAGCATCCATTAAAATATATATATTCAGCATTTGAGGCCAACGGATGCTTTAGGAAACCTGGTTGAAGCTTGGTAAATGCTAATAAAAAATGCCTGCAGAATCTGAGACTGAAAAGTCAGTCCATCCAAATGTGATATTTTAGTTATAGGGGCTACATCAGCCCCTTGCTTTCTTATACACTCACAAGACGCTTTATTAGTTACAACTGTTTATTTCCTTGGTAACACAAATTTCTAACCAGCCAATCACTTGGCAGCAACTCAATGCATTTAGGCATCTAGACGTGGTGAAGACGACGTGCTGAAGTTCAAACCGAGCATCAGAATGGGGAAAAAAGGGGGTTTAAGCGACTTTGAACGTGGCATGGTTGTTGGTGCCAGACGACTTGTCTGAGTATTTTAAAAACTGCTGATCCACCTGGGATTTTCACGCACAACCATCTCTAGGGTTTACAGAGAATGGTCCAAAAAGAGAAAATATCCAGTGACTGGCAGCTGTGTGGATGAAAATGCCTTGTTGATGTCAAAGGTCAGAGGAGAATGGGTAGATTGGTTGCTGCAACATTCAGATGGTAGGGTCAGAATTTGGCATAAACAGCATGAAAGCATGGATCCATCCTGCCTTGTATCAACGGTTAAGGCTGGTGATGCAATGATGTGGGGGATATTTTCTTGGCACTAGCAAGGTGTGCCTAATAAAGTGGTCGGTGAATGTATATCTTGGGTACTCCAACAGCAAGAGCTTCCTGCCATAGTTGCTGACCAATTCTTATCCAGATGAAGTTTTTGGGTGTTCCCATACCCCTGTGTCTTGCAGCTCCTTGTTTTGCATTCGTTGCAGCAAAAAATACATTAAAAGCTCATCGGGGGATGCTAGGAGCCAATCATATTGGACACGGTGGATGTGCAGATGCAAGAATGACAGAGGTCTCATCAACAGAGTCCCCAAAAGACAGGAGTCATGTGGTTTAACACTCAATCATTTACCAAACGCTGAAATATCAGTCTTGGATCCGCTTACCCTTTAAAGTTTGACCTCTTGGAGGTAGAAGCATACTGCATAAGGTTTATCTAACCAACAGTAGGAGAAGAGCGTATTGGGAAGACCAAAGTCCACATGACATGAATCTTTCTTTTTATTGAAAACAAAACCATGGAGACGTCAAGTTTAAAATCTTGTACACAGGAACAAGAATACCCCATGAACATCCAATCGGTTTCCAGCCATTGTTAATTTAGCTTGGTAATATGAGAAAAAGATCTGATTGACTCGCTTGGGCAAAACCTACACTCCTCACATTTTTGTATACAGATTTAGTGAACAGATGAGGCTTTATAACAATGTCACAAGACGTTGTAAAGTGGAATAATTCGCCTTCAGCAAAAGCTCAGATTACTCTACTTTACACCGCACACCAACATAAATATATATACAAGACACATATGGCAGCTGGAGGCTGCTGAGATGTTTCAGCAAAGCAATAATTACTTTTATTGTCTAAAATCTTGTTAACAGGTTTTTTTTTTTTTAATTTTTGAAATCTACTATCAAATGACCCCCGGTCATTTACTTACAGTGCAATCTAAATTACTAGAGAACTGAAGTAGAATTAATGAGATAGTATTTTGGGGCTGCGGTGAATGATTGCTCGCCTGCCCGTGTCTCAATACATACCATGTAGTGTTTTGTTCGCTCCAAAGGAAAATAACATGACATGTTACTCTACAAGGGGGGAAAAATATCACCTACATAGCCACGTACATAGTTATCCCGTGCGGACCAGCCTGGGTAGAGCTGCATGTGCAGCTGCCGTTCCTTCCTCGCCAGCTCGTAGTATTTTGCCTGTTCTTCTCTCGATAACGCGTGCCACTGCATGGAGAGAAAGAGAGGGGAGTTCTGAGTAAACATCGGCAATGTATATTACCATAGCTCCAGGCGAGAATCTATTAGCAACAAATTAAAAAAAATGCTTTATGAGTACAGTGAAAAGCACATCTAACTCATTACAGGCCTCAGAAACCATCTGAAGACCCTACCATCCCCACCAATAACCTTATAGTAGGTACTTAAAATTTCATTGAAACCAATAGCAACTTTTTAAAGGTAAGCTTCAATGTATTCAAATTTGTAGCTTTTATTTAAATAATACCTGGTGATCCTGCCATCAAGATCCCTTTTGGACGCTTCCTTTTAACCACTTCCTGTCCGGACACTTTTACCACCTTCCTGTCCAGGGCAATTTTCAGCTTTCAGCGCAATCACACTTTGAATGACAATTGCGCGGTCATGCAATACTGTACCCATATGAATTTCTTACCATTTTTTTGAGACAGATAAAGCTTTATTTTGGTGGTATTTATTTTTATTTTTTTTGCTATGTAAATGAAAAAGTCCAAAAATTTTGAAAAAAAGTGTTTTTCTTATAAAATATTGCAAATAAATAATCTTTCATCATAAATCTTGGCCAAAATGTATTCCGTTATATTTTTAGTAAAAAAAAATAAGCCAACTTAGTTTATAACCAAAAAATTATAATTTTTAAACATTTTTGTTATATTTTTATTTTATTTTTTTATATTATTATTTATGGGGTTTTTTTTTACATACTGTCACCCTAGCAGTACAGTGTCACCATGGTGACACTGTACTACTTGTGGGGGGTGATGATTTTTTTTTTTTTACAGTGATTGCTTTTACACCCATATAGGATGTAAAAGCAATCATTTCTCTTTCTCTCTGTCTGCATTCTTGCAGCCATTGAGAACTACTGTGTGAGCTGTGATTGGTCACACCTTGTCACATGGTACAAGGCTGTTGTGAATAGCCTTGTACCATGTGACCTCTGTGATCATTCACAGATTTCACACGTAGTAAGCAGTGATGTCAAAAGTGACATCTTGCTTACTACTTTGCATGTGATCACTGATTGGCCAATCAGTGATCACATGATCGGGACCTCGTACAGAGGTCCCGTCCGATGATCGGTGTTTCACTGTGTCCAGAGGACACAGCGGGCACCGGATCGCGGTGCTGCACGCTCCCAGGGAGCACGCACAGCTAGAAATGGCGGGGGCCGTTTATGAACGGCAACCCGCCCCTGGAGTGCCACCGCCCTGCCATTTATAAACAGCAGGCGGGCGGCAAGTGGTTAAAGGATGATAATGCACTGGCCCTGTTTCCTAATTGTGCTCCCGTGTTGTCACCCTGTCTTATGGGCTTCCAATGGGGACCACAACTGGCCTTTCAAATGTACATTACGGTTGCTGGTTGGTGATAAGTATACGATTGAATTTCTAACAACATAATCTTTAATACTCTCTTGAGTCCATTTATTTGCCATTCTACGTGCAATAAAAACTCCAATGAAGAGGGCAGTTATGTGACCCCAAAATGTGTTGGCTGTATCTACATGTCCTGTGTTTTCATTTTAAGTGAAATAAACAAGCTTTGGGCTCTAACTTCTTGGTGTGGTGCTCCTGCTCTTCATTCTTCCCTAAAAATGGCTATGTGACAATGTTTTACCAAACAAATAATTTTACAGTGAAAAAAGTGGGAGCTTTGCTGTTGTTAATGGTTTAGTGCTTTGTTGAGTTCTTCCTACACTTACCCTTCGGCCGAGGATCTGGTTAATGGCTGCGCTTTCTTTTAATGTACATTCGGCTACAACCTTTGCTCGCATTTCCTTCATATACAACATAAATGCATTAAGAGGTTTTCTTTATGTGAGGTTTTTTCTTTTCTTCTTCCTTTTTGGAATCCTGATGTTTTCTGTAAAATGACATAACATTAGTAATTCCACAGAGGGTTACTTGAGGACCATTTTATTTTTACAGAAGGCTTAGGATAGCACATAAACAGAAAACTTTAACTAGACAAAATGATGGAGATTTACTAAAGCTGGAGCGCTAAGAATCTGGTGGAGCTGTGCATGGTAGCCAATCAGCTTCTAACTTCAGCTTGTTCATTTAAACTTTGGCAATAAAACCTGGAAGCTGATTGGTTTCTGTGCAGAACTGCACCAGAATTTGCACGCTCCAATTTTAGTAAATAACCCCAAATATGTCCTGAATCATGGATGGGAAACCACTATTACAGGTTCAGGAGATCTCAAGTAATCTTACTTTGTGTAGAAGATTTACAATATGAGGTAGGCTTTCACAAAGAGCTTAGTACATCTGTGTTAAATTGCCATTTGCAATACAGACTGATGCTGAACATCCAGATGACAAGCTAGGCAGAAGTTGACCATGCTGATAAGAGGCGGTCAGAATATGTGTGCATTTATGGAGAAATGGGCAAAGGGCATCTGCATGGATGCATGTCTCTATGGACAGAAGACCTAACGAAGGATTGTCTACCTAGATGGAAAACTGGGTTAAGGACATCTTCATGAGTGAGGATATATATATACTGTAGACAGTATATCTTCATGGCTGGGTGGGGGACATCTACATAGACAGATGACTAGTCACATGATATCTTAATGAACGAAAGGCTAACGAGAGGACATCTATGTGGATGACATACGGTGGAAAATATAAGTACATGGATACAGGGTTCATTGGAGCTTGTCACTTCATGGATGGATTACATTTTTATGGATAGATAAGAAATCCACATGGACGGAACACTGGGAAAAGGACATTAATGTGTAAAAGTCAGACTGAAAAAAGTCACATGTCCCAGTTGAACCCAAAGATAAAAACTGATAAAACTGAAAAGGATGGAAATTCAGAAGGTCTGCATGAATGTAAGACTGAATGGAAGACATCTACATGGATGCAAAGCTGGGTAGAGGATTTCTAAACGAGTTCAAGAATGAATAGACTGAATATAGATGAAATAAAGGGATGAGGATGTCTACATGGATGTAAGACTACATGTATTGATGTCTACATGGAGCAGAATAGATCTCTACAGGAAGAAAGTAAATGGCACATCTTCACTAAAAGAGGAGGTATCTGATGTAGAAGTAAGAGATTTACTGCAGGAGTTGATGTCTACAAGGAAGCCTGCGCAAAGAAAGAAGACCACAGGAAGAACATTGATATGCATGTTCAAGGACCTTTTTGGCTATCAGTGGAGATCATGTAGCTTTAAAAATAAAATACTATGGAAATAAGTTGTCTGCACAAATTAGAAACCTTTGCTTCCAGTGGGGAAAGCCCAAATGCACCAAAAACATTTACTACAGACAAGGGTTATCAAATTACAATGTCCTATATCCGAAAATCATCTATATCATTGACACAATTTAACTAAAGGCAGGGGCAATTGGTACGGATGAGGAACATTTACTGTTGTGGAGGGAGTCTACCTTGGCTTGGCATTATCACTAGAGTTGGGGGGTGTACACATAGATAAAGGTCTTCTGCTATAGGAACTCTATGTACTGACCAGTTTAATTACAGAGCAGATCTAGAGACACGTAAGGTAAACAGAAGACTCACGAGCTGTGCAGAGATCCCACGTCACTCTGGGAAGATTCCTGTTTGACGGTTGGGGTCACTATGGCGGGATGAGGGATTCCAGTTGTGTGTAAACTGTGGTGGGGCGGCACCATGTGTGGAGGGAATCTGGAGGAGAGAAAGCTGTGTAAATTGTCAGAATAAACATGAATGAAAAGGGGAGGAAAAACATTTCTACAATTTACTGTAAAACAATTCAAACACAAATTGTACTCCCCACCACCATCACTAGACAATATTATGGATGTCCAACATGACCAATAAGATACAATTCTGGCTTCACTGTGATATACATCTCATTCTGTTCTTAAAATCGCTGTGAATAAACAAGCCTGCATCTGGTTTGGATCTCTGGAGACCATGAGTGTAAGGTTATCACCCTCATTAGGCCACCAAAAACCATTTTAAAAATAAATATGACCTTCGTACCTGTAATGTCACAAAAGCTTTTGCTCATTTGAGTGATTAAAAAACTGTAATTCTGTCCAGCCAGTCTTGTGACCTAGACCAGTGATTCTCAACCACTTGGCCATGGCCTTCCCTCTCATGGGCCTCCAGCCAGCTGCAGATCCCTTAATCTTCCACAGCGCCTTCCAGCTCCCATAGTGTCCCCAACCTTCCATAGTGGCCTACAGTGCACCCAGGCCCCCTGAGAGCCCTCAGCTTCCACAATTCCCCCAACCTTCCCTAGTGTTGCCCAGCATTTGTATTCTTATACTTTTATTGTGTGAGTATAATCTTTAAACTTTACTAATGGAGCATGGAAGGTTTTGGAAGAATTTACCAGGCCCTTGTTTCAAATACGTTGAGAACCACTGACTTAGACAACCCTTTACAAACAACGTTAGGATGGAAACCTCACTCTACTGAAACAAAGCACTTTAAAGTATAACTAAAACAAAACCGTTTACTTTGGATAGAACCTGGAATTGATAACGTAGTTGTAAAGTCATTTTTTTTTTAATTATTTGCAGAGAGCAGCCCATTATTATTATTATTATACAGTATTTATATAGCGCCAACAGTTTGCTCAGCGCTGTACATTATATTGGGAAACAGTACATTAACAATACAGTACAATACACGAGGGGTTCGAGGGCCCTGCTCCTTGGAGCTTACAATCTTACCCCCTCTTCTGGGATCTCCTGAGCCAGGCTGTGTGCAACCCATTGACACGCACAGTACAGCGCAGCCCTACCCCACCCTCCTTCTTCACAGGATTTTACTGACAGCAGTAGAAACCAATAGTGCCCACAGCTTTCAGTGAAGCCAGTGAGAACAGGGAGGGGGGAGAGAAGAGTTGTAGATGGGCACAGTGCTGGATCGATGTAGGGCTCAGGTAAGTGTTTTTCCTTTTCTCTTCTTTTTTTTTGGGGGGGGGGGGGGGGTGTCATAAAAATCTTTAACTTTAGAACTACTTTAAGTGTATTTCCAAACATTTTTTCGTTTTTGACAGAGTAAGGAAGGGTAATAGGCAGATTTTTACTGCTATCTGGGGCTCCATCAGAAAGTAGCTTATATTTACATAGTGCACATTTTGAGTCATCACACACGTTTCAGCAGAAATCATGTTGATGGGACTTTGACTTGTTTCTCATGCGTACAATTCATATACACCTTGCTCTCCTAAGAGGTCATCCATGTTTCAGGGACCGTGAATATCTCCACACCCAAAGACTGCCCAGATAAGCTCAGCTAGACTTGCAGAGTTTACTGCTTTCAGTCAAGTCAGTTCTAACTGGTAGTCTACCACTGAGTGAGAGGAGAGATAGCAAAGTACAATCACTCAACAGCACTACTAAATCAGAAGCAAATGAGTGGGTAATGAGCAAATTCAGAAAACAACATTTCCATGTATAATGAGGGATTCCCACCATCCCTGTAATGAGTTCCTAGGTCTTCACACCTGCTTTGCCCATTATGAGGGGTTATGATCATCCCTGCTCTGAAATCCCTGGTCTATACTCCTGCCATGCCCATTATGAAATGTTCTAACCATCCCTGCTCTAAGTTCCTGAGTCTATACACTTGCTGTGCCCATTATAAGGGGTTCCAACCATCCCTGCTCTAAGTTCATGAGTCTATACACTTGCTGTGCCCATTATAAGGGGTTCCAACCATCCCTGCTCTAAGTTCCTGAGTCTATACACCTGCTGTGCCCATTATAAGAAGTTCCAACCATCCCTGCTCTAAGTTCCTGAGTCTATACACCTGCTGTGCCCATTATAAGGGGTTCCAACCGTCCCTGCTCTAAGTTCCTGAGTCTATACACCTGCTGTGCCCATTATAAGGGGTTCCAACCATCCCTGCTCTACGTTCCTGAGTCTATACACCTGCTGTGCCCATGATAAGGGGTTCCAACCATCCTTGCTCTGAGCTCCTAGGTCTACACACCTGCTGTGCCCATTAAGAGAGGTTCTAACCATCCCTTCTCTGAGTTCCTGGGTCTATACACCTGCCATTTCCATTATGAGGCATTTCCACCATCCCTGCTCTGAGAACCGAGGTCTACACACCTGCTGTGCCCATTATAGGGCTTCTGATCATCCCTTTGCACACCCGTTGTACTTGTGTTAAAGTCTCCCACCATCCCTGCTGGAATATTTCTTTCTTTCATATTACAAAGAATATGACAGAAGGAGCGGGGACACACAAACGTGGCCAGGAACAACCAAAACCTAGAGAAACAGAGCTGGGAATTTTGACAGGAAGATCTCACCAGTGGAGCATCCATGTCATACGAATATGAAATCAGTGGCTAACCCAGGCCACTAGGCTCCAGCTAGAATCACAATATAGGGAGGACGACTCCTTTAACACTTATTAAAAAGATTTTTGATCTAAAAAAAACCCCCACAAAAAACAAAGAATAACAAAAATTGCACAGTAGAGTACAAAAAAGACTGCATAAAAATTCCAGTGTTTTCATGTTTATAATTTTTTTTTCTTGCAAACTTAACCCAGGCTCTCTGAGAAAAAAACAAAACAAAAGAAATTTGGCTAGATGGATATAAGAGGCATGGCGCTCCTCATCACAAAGGTGTCTCGCATCCCGTAGACGGGCAGTAAACACCCCGAAAGCAGCTCATTAGAGTCCCTGTCTGCCTCTATGGCTCCGAGCCAGAATATAATGATGAGAGTTAACTAAGTTGGGACAACTAACTTTTTTTTTTTTGTTCTTGCCAGTCTCCGGGGCTTCCGCCTTCTGCGGCCTCATTTTGTGCGCTTGTTGACACGCTTCCATTAAGCGCCTGTCATCCGCCGTCCTTGATTTTATGCACAAACTGTGGGATGCGCTCCGTTCTGCAGCCACGCGCCTTTGAATCGCATTGGATTTGTCATTATCCTCTTGCTCTTGTAACATTTCATCTATTTCTGCCCGGGAATGCGCCTGGCATGCGCCCACTTTATGGTTAAAACATGATGTGGCTTCCCTTTGAAGGCAGACGGTTTCAGCGTTGCCCTCGTCAGGAGAAGTGCCTTTCACCAATTTAGCATGCTGAGGGCCCCAAGCTCCAACATCTCAATCGAAAGGGGGTCACAGGGTGGCATCGGCGAGTGTCAGAGAGTGCTGCTTAATTGCCAATCTAGGCTTCTCCACGGTGTTTAAAGTATAATGACCCTTCACTTAATTCTGAGAATCCCCGGACCTGGCGCTGGATTGAATGAATATCAAAGACGACGACCGAACAGGGTGCAGGCCTCCGCTTTTCTATAACTGTCATAAGTCTAATGGACCTGTACTTCATGTCAACCCATTATCACAATAATGTATTTAATTTGCTGTATACGCTTTTTAACTAGACACCTTTCATACAGCCAAGTTTGGAAGGAAGCCCAAAAAAAAAAAAAAAAAAGAGAGAGAGAGACAAGGATCCCAAGGTGGTTTGGCGCTTGCTAATAAGCATTCGAGAAATCCACCTTCGGCTTTGTTCAGCTCTTTCCATTTGCATTAACCCCTACGAGCGAGCGCCGATAGGCGGAGGAGCCCCCTGTCAAAGATTTGTCACATCTGCCACCGTCATCTGTTGGAATTCGCCTGCCCTTAATGAACGTCATTAGCTGGGAATGTGGCACCATGGCCATCTGACATGCAAAGCCAGGGAAGGTTTAAAGTGAACCTATCTTTAGGAAATCAAACACAGGCTTGCATTAAACTGGCTGTACATGCAAAGATTTCTCAACAAGTTGAACAAGGGAAAACTATAGATTTCCACATCCACCTTTAAGTGTGAGGATGGTGGAATTTGGTTGTTGCAGTTGCACAAGAAAGAGTGCCAAACAAATGATCTAAGTCCAACAACAATTTAACGGTTTAGTAAATGAAAATGGAAAGGGCAACAGTCAATGTGGTTCAGGGGCCTATAGATCTGCCCTAATAAAATGAATAGGGACTCAAAAGTAGTACAGTCACCAGGTTTGATTAGTTATGTGAAAATCAGATACGACCAGGATCAATAAATCAATGAGTAATAGGTTAAAGAGAGCACCAAATAAAAAAATCCTTAGGAGTCCAACACTATATTGTTCAACTGGTTATAACAAGCAGGGCAATGAACATCAATGGGTTTCAGAGCCACAAAAACACATTGGATGCCCTTTGCCCAGCTTTTTGAAACCAGCTGATCAATATAGACTTTGGACTCCTAAGGATTATTCATTTGGCGCTCACTTTGACTTATTACACTTGGATTTCTCAACTTGGGCGAATGTCTTATCCTGGGGGATCCCCATCTTTGTGGTGAGCTATTGAATACAGGCCAATTGGGCTCAAGTAGTGAATTTGTCCACAGGTTGATAGCCTTTGAAAGTCCAGTGCCCTGTTACCACTACCTCTTGGACCAGTGGTTGAAATCACTGGATGACCTACTTTTTTCCACCTGGCTACTTCTATAGTTAGTACGAAGTTTGTCAAGCTGGGTCATGTCAGCAGGGCCACCCAAAGCGCAAATTTCCATTGATTCAAAGGAATCAACCAAAATTCAAGCCACGTATGGCCAACTTCACTGTTCAATAGTGGGTACCCTAAGGGTCAAACACTTGGCTTGCCTTGGCTATGGGAGCCCCCCAAACTCTGGTTTAGAGAGACTGTAATATTTCGGTACATGGT